TCTGACAAGGCGGTAGTCCTACACGTCTCGTAGATGCGAAATTGTAGCGATGGCTAAATAATACAATAAAACCCGAGATCTAAACCTAATAGTAGCTAACTATTTATTAGAGTACGGCTGCCTGCGCGTAGACGAATCCTGGTCGGCTACGACTTGAAGTCATGAGCCGGCCCACATGTAGTTTATTTCCTTGTTTAGTTGTTGACGGTGTGGGCTGCACGCGGACGTGGCCTTCTCCAGTCCAGGAAGCCTAATACTCCTTCTCCTCCTTTTGCACTTCAGCACGTACGTGGCTAGGTACCTTCTTGCATGTCAATAGTGTTGCTGCTTGTGGAATCAACGTGCAACATTTTTCATCTTCCATCTGCATGCGGCTTTTCCTCCTTATCTCTCCAACACCTTCGTTCCTGAGTACAAGTAAATCCAAACATGAGTGTAATATAATATTCTCATTAGTTAAATCATATGTACAAAGGAGCGATAGTACCTGGTCATTTATCTGTCTCGCTCGTGCTCTAGTCATAGGTCCAGATGGAATAACTGATGTCGCGGTGGGTGCAACTGTGGCAGAGATGTCCTCATCACAAGTTGGACGCGGAATCGGTGAAGAGGAGGAACCGGAGGGCGGTCGTCAAGGGCAATGCTGCCGTGGCCAAGTTCGCCGCCGAGCGCGATGCAATGGAGGCCGCGCGGCGCAAGGCCGAGGTTTGACGCCGATGGCCTGAACTAGGTCATCCGATCGGCCGTGGCCATTTTTTTTGGAGGCTGGCATGGGTGCCGCCCGCTGGGCCGCTGGCTGTGTGCCGGTAAGAACACATTCGTTTTTGGAGGTTGGCTGTGTTGCCGGCTGCTGGCGAGGACGTGTAGACCGCTGGCTCTGTTGCCGGCATGAACTAGGGCCGCTGGCCTAAATTAGGGCTTGGTATTTCGAACGTTTTTGTTTTTAAAATGGAGGCGGACAAGATGGGGTCAAAGGATGCGGCTGCGCGCTGGGCGCACTGCCACCACATCCAAGGACAGACGCGGACACGACCCCATCGCCCTATCCAAACGGACAGAATTCAGGCAAAGCGGACGTCCGTTTAGGGTCATGCAGTGGAGTTGGTCTAATGACCGGTCACAAAATTCCAACTCGGCTTACCGGCCCTATAATGTCAGATCCAACTCACGCTGGCACACCTCAACTCCACACATATTCGTACCCATCCGTATTTCAGATCAAATTTTAGCCATCCCACTTCAGTCTACCGCAAGCTCCCTTTTAGCAAATCTTCAACCTTCTCTGGCATTGCGGGCAGCGGATCAACTCTGACCACTCCTGATCCATCGACTAGGGCATCATCCCATGTGGGGAGGAAGAGGCTATGGTCGTCTGCATGACCCTCCGTCGCTCCCGGAAGAGTGCACCCGACCGAGGTTGGATTTGATCTGACGGGAATCCATTGCGTTGGCGCAACCGGAGCCCGGATCCGCCAGGGCTGAAGGCTCGAGCTCCGTCTGTCGCCCTATCTCTGGCGCGGAGGCATTTGAGTGTTACAGGGACAGGTGTACCCCACAGTGTGAAGGAGAGGGCGTGGGAGGCCGAGGCCCACCTCGCTGCCGAAAATGCAAAGGCGAACACGAATGATGCGGCATCGTGCACTGCCTTGGACGAGGAAGTGGTTCGTGCCCGCATCGTCCAGAAGTGACAAAGGAGGAACACACATGCCCTCGTCCAAGAGCAAAACTGAGCGGTCCGTGTCATGACCGGACTGCCCCCTAAAGAGGAGAAGGAGAACAGTGACAACTCGAACAACTCCGACGAGGAGCAGATCCGGCTTGAACCATTTTGCATCTTCCGAGCGCAACGCCGCGACAAAGACGCCAAGGACGCCGACACAGGGAAGGGCAAGTGCAGCCGTCAACAATCTTTGTCGATAGCTAGTAGAACATGCCAATTATTTGTAGTCCTATGGCATGTATTGATGTAGTAGCCGGACACTTTGTGTTGGATCATAGAAATAGTTTACGATGCATGTGGTTGTATGGATTTGAGGTTCGCTAAATGAGGTACCATATTGTGAAAACGAAAATTTATGGGATTACCTGTCACTATTTCACGCGACCGACCGACCACGTTCGCGGAAAACGAAAATTTATGGGATTACCTGTCACTATTTCACGCGACCGACCGACCACGTTCGCGGACGTTTGAAGGAACGGATTAACTATATGCACTTGTAGAAGCTCTTAGGTTATCTTCATCCCTGTCCTCTCGAGTCACTATCCATCTGTGGACACGTTGGCGAACATAGATACGAGGCTCTCATTCATCGTTGTGTCCAAAACATCGGTCCAGTTCAGCCTTATCTGAATACATTTGAACTGCAAATAACGATCGTGGCAATTTTGATGAGCAAATAAAAGTGCATATGTATACTTCACAACCAAAAACCAGCGATTGTTCATTAGTTTTTACATGCGTCCGATAACAAAAGTTTTAGTTCGGCAGTCAATGCAAATTATGCCCTCTCAGACCGACTGGCCATGCCACCTCCATCATCACTTTGTCGCCGGCTCGTCAGCAACTTACACCTCTGTTATCTCTGTCGCTAAGTGTTTCTACATCTTTGCATGGACGGCTTGCACGATTTCGGTCTCATCGGGATCCAACACGTCCATCTTTATGGTCAACATCGTGGTTTCCTCTGAAGCGTCCGTGAGCCAACCCTCCTCTCTTTAATCTTGCTCTTCTTTCTTCGATCTTGCATAAATAACCAAGCCACTGCTACAACTGTACTAAGTTTTCAGGTCAAGAAAGCGGAGGGCTATCTAGGTGTACCAATTGTTGGTGAACCAAAATCTTCCCATTATTTTGTTTAAACAACTAAGTTCCTTATGGTTGAGTTTTCTTTCTTTCTTGAGGATGATCAATGTTTAAGCTTGGGGAGGTTGATGAGTGATATTTTTGCGCTCATTGCACCATTGTTTAAACTGGATAATTCCGAAATTTCTAAGAAAATCACTCTGATATTGGCAATAATGACTAATGAATGTGAGAGATCGTGAAACCCTTTTATTTAATGTGATTCTGCGGGAAAAGAGACTAAACATTGAAGGATATCATCATATACAAGGAAATACAAAGTTGGGTAGAAGAGGAAAGTCAACAGGAGGCGCAATAGGCTTCATGGAGCACAAGACGGCCCATGGTACGAGTGCACCCGCTCGCATCACACGCCGCCAGCTCCAAATTGTCCACATGACCAATTTCTATAAAGGGGTCAATGCTAGAATATCAACAGGGAGAGCATCATTTGTGAAATGTAGAACCAAAAACCATCTTCCAACCCTAGCAGCCGCCATTTCCCATTTCGTCTTCATAGCCTCCGCCACTATCATCACCGCAGCCATCCATCTTCAATTGTAATTAGTGTATCGCATCTAGCAACTATTCTAAGACATATTATCAATCAATAATTTATCTTGATGTCATCTTCAATGAGTTCATCTTGCGATCCGATAGCCGCGTGTGAGTAATTCGGTAAGGCAATGTATTGATGCAAGGCCTTGCGACCTTATGTATTTGTGCATGTGATCACTAGAATGACTTTGCGTATTTGATGTTATTTGTATTTATCTGATTCCAACGGGGATGTGTCTTGTCTTCTTCTCGTTCTAAGGCCCTGCAGGTACCCAAGATCACGTAGAACGATCAGGGAGAAGGTAAAGAGCAAGGATAACATGGAATGCTATCCCGAACAACAGTGAGAGAGGGGTTAGTATGGTAGCAGAAAGAAATTCCTTGGGGACAAATGAGGTTTAGGCATTAAACACCCAATATTTTCTCTGAATATTTCACTACAGGAAATAGATACATCCGTGACATTATGGTCCGAACGAAAAAAAAGTCTATCATGGAAGTGACGATAATTGTGGCAACATGTATCATCATGGATATGGTGGGCACCTATTCTATGACAAAATTATGATAAAAATGGGTTTTTTCGTCCTGGGCAGGCCAGAGGCGCACCTGCATGAAGTTCTTTGGGTCGTCAATGACCTAAAAATGGTACTCCATCCGTTCCCAAATATTTGTCTTTTAAACATTTCAAATATTACAACATACGGATATATGTAGACATATTTTAGAGTGTAGATTCACTCATTTTGCTTTGTATCTAGTCACTCATTGAAATCTCTAGAAATACAAATATTTGGGAACGGAGAAAGTAGAAATGAGGGCAATATTTTTTTGAGGGTTACCTGGTATACGGTGGGTGCTCGGGAGGGGTGGTTTGCGTGTTTCTCGCTAACCCTTTATGAAACTGCAAAACATAAATACAAAAGGCCTCAAGTTCAAGTAGCGACCAAACAATCATTTCGTGGAGGTTTGAAAAAAAAATCAATGTGCCAAAAAGACTATTGTTGGAAGCATTTTGGAGCATCAATTTTGTTATTTTTGCCAGACCTACACCAATGTTATTTCATCACAAAACTTTGCAGGCAGTTAAAACACTCGTCAATATTTATCACAAAAAGAAATAAGATTTTTTTTTTGAATTTGTTTACTATTTTTTTCAGATTTTACTGTTCTATCAGGGAGCATGTGAGCTCAGAATCAAAAGAGCACTTTCGGGTTTGTTCACTCATTTCGGACTGTACGTAGTCCATATTGAAATATCCAAAACATCTTATATCCATGAACCGAGGGAGTACCAGTGAATGAATAAAAGGAGATTGTGTTGTCAAAAAAGTAAGTAGAGGCATATAACAATAACAAACTTATAGAACCTTCCACATTGTCAGGCAGCTCGTGAAATGGGCCATACAGTACCATGAGCCATAGTATCAGTACATGTTGGTCCAGGTCGAAAAGGAAATTACCATGGACACAAGTAGCAAAACATATCCAGTTGTTCACAGGCAAACGGAGCCCATTACATGATAACCAGTCATGACACGCAACAAACTTCACTTGGCTCGGAGCTTCTTACAATGCAAGAGGAACGCCCACCCTGCTAAACTATGTTGCATCCGGATGGAGCAGAAGCCGTTGAGGTTGACGCTGCTTCAGTCACGGCATCTCCAGTACTCAACCCTGATAAACCTTCAACCAAAGCTTCAGTCACGCCATCTCCAGCACTCAACCCTGATGAACCTTCAACCAAAGCTAAGAGATGTTAGGCAAAATACTGGATACATGCAATGTATTTGAACAAAACACGCTAGTTTCCAGTTATGGAAATACTAGTAGAAACTGTAATCCGATACAATAGAAACTTGGTAGTATATAAGAGTGACACTGTCTCAAGAACTAATAACAATAATAATTCAAACTTTTTTAGGGAAACATTTAAACAACTTGACATAATGCCAGGAAAATGAGTTTCAAAATGTCAGTGTTTTGCCCAAAAGAGGAATAAAAACAGTAACTGCATCCTATTAATTAATCTCCTCTTCACTAGAATTTAATTTTCTTTATATAATGTACGTACATGCTTTCCTATCACTCTAATCTAGTCTTAACCCCTAGTTTCATAGCTTGTACTTAGTTTAAACATAAGCATTAACAAGGTACAATGTATAAATTGGCAATAGAGTAGCAGATAACAACTGCCCATAATGAAATAAGATGCATGCACTCAGTTTCAGCTTTGGATCAAATACCAACAACGAAGAGTAGGATGGTTTATACAAAGATTCATCAAGCACCAAACTGATTATATCCAGTAAATAAACTAGCTATCAGTAAACAGGCCAAAAGGGTATAGTTAAGAGTGGATTTGGATATATTTTCAACAAAATCACCCTCATCCTAACTCTCATGAGACACAAAATGTTAGTGCATGCCCCTGTATGCCTAACTACTGCCCATATGCTAACACTCAAATCCGATATAATGGCACTTGGCTTCCCAAATAGGTGAAGTACTGATACATGTACAGTTAGTCTGTTACTGAAGTGAAGAGTATTCATGAGAATATGCCTTTCTCAGGAAACTCAAATTGGGTAATTCAAGGTGCTGTGCAAATGTTCATGAGAATATGTCTTTCTCAAGAAATTCAAATTGGGCAACCAAAATAACACAAAAGCCGGTTTAAGTGTTGTGATATCACTACAATCAAAAGAAAAGGTCTGAAAGGCAATGAAAAGTGTCCCTCGTGGATTTCCTGGTGACAACTATAGTAGTAGTAGTGCTTAGAAAAATTGGATAAAGATGCAAAACAAACAAGGTGGCAGCAAATGATAAAATAACAATTATAGAATCATGCATCTTATGTATACCATAGTTTTAAATAGCGGAATATGGCAAATAGCGATAAAAGCATTAGCATGCTAAATTGGAGCTATAGCATGCTAAATGGCGCAAAATGGCTTAGCATGATGCCACTCCAAATGCTATAGCGTCGAGATAGCGCCCTATTTAAAACCATGATGTATATACACATTGCTCATGACCCGACACTTGATAACGAAGCGGCAAATGAATTATGCAGCAATGAAATAACATACAAAGATAATACAGGAACCATAGCATCAAGCTAGCTAATGCCTCTAATGGTACCACACACACAGTCACACGCACTCACACATTAGAACAAGTAGCTAAAGTAGCCATTCAATCCACATGCACATGGCCCTGTAAACGAGATATATGATTCACACTTCTATTCCTAACTCACACTAAAGTGTCAGCAAATACGTCAATTAAGCCTCGTGTGAAATTTCAGCAAAATAAATGAAGTTAGTCTCATTGGAAATAAATGAGGAATAAATAGATGGCTTGGAGGAAACGTCCACATACTACTAGCTCAACGGTACTCCCTCCGGTCCTTTTTATTCTGCATATTAGAATTCTCTGAAGTCAAACTTCACAAAGTTTGACCGTATTTATATGAAAAAATATCAACATCTGCCATGCTAAAGTTATATAATATGAAACTTTAAGTCATGACACATCTAGCAGTATTGATTTTAGATTGTGAATGTTGACACTTTTTTCTACAAAGTTGGTCAAACTTTACGAAGCTTGAATTCAGTCAAACCTTATATGCGAACTAAAAAGGACCGGAGGGAGTATATGGTAAGCTCTAAGCAGTAGACCAATCCACACTCTACAACAGTCGAACCTAATGTAAGCTTGTTTGTTATGCATAAATGCATACGCACACGCCACATGATCATGTTCTGTAACAGAGGGCATAACATCCAGTAGAAGAGCAACAAAATAGAGGTAAATACACCAGAGGTCTTAGAACTTGCGTGCGGCGGTCACTTTGGTGCACAAAGTTGTAAAATACGTGTTTGTGGTCACTAAACTTGCGAGGCCGTTCAAATACAGTCACTCTCACCGTACGCATGCGTATCCGTAGACGCCAGCATGGCACGGGCCCGCTGTCAGCCACCGTAATTGCTCTTGTATGATAGATTTATAGAAAAGCCCACAGTTCTTTTTTTATTTACATAGGAACCCCTAAAATAAGAAAAATAGTGGGGCGGCGGGGTTCCATACTTGGACGTACTGCTAAGTGGCACGATTGAACAACCACCACGCCAACAGTATCATGTGTTTACTTTGCACTACTATATTATACTGTATATCCTATCCGGGTGGACCCAAAAAGTGATAATGAAGAAATTTATGTCTTCTAATAATAAGAATGCAAAGTGCAACCGGTGGGTTCGAACCTGTGACATGGAGATTCACTCGCGCATAAGCCAACCATCAAGCAACTGCGACATGTGACGTAATTTAGAGATAGACAATGTCTATGTTTTTATCACTCTTGTTCTCTTTAAGTATGTGCCATTTTAAAAAATGTTTAAACATTGTAAAAAATGTTCGTGTAATTCAAAATATGTTCATGCAATAGAAAAACTAAGCGAACAGTTTTTTGAACCATGCGAGCATAATTGCACATTGTGTAAAACTCACAATTTTTTTTGAAATGTGTCAACATTTTTTAAATGCAATGTACATTTCTTAATTTACATGAATATTTTTCACAGTGTTTAAACATTTTTATAAATGCCATGTAGTTTTTTTAACGCATGTACATATTTTGAATTATAATTGCACAAATAATACATGAACAATTTTTTCTGATCCACGAATTTCTCAAATAAAACGAATAGGTGTTATTATGAATATTTAAAAACTATTTGTGTTATTATTATGCAAACATTTTTATAATTCAGAAGTATTATTTTAGAATAATACATGAAAATTATTTAAAATTATCTTATTAATGGCATTATAATTTGCATACTATCTACAAATTTCTGAAAAATAAACAAGTGCAAAATGGGTCGCCAGACCACAGCCCATTTCTGTTCCATGAGCGCTTCCGTTTTTGTACATTAATCTTAGTTACTCTTAATAGCTGTCTACAGATGTGTGGCGCAGTTTGTGTGACCTGTATTGTACTAGCATTAGGTCGGGGTTCGAGATCTGGCAGTTAAACTTTTCGTCCCATCGATTGTTGATTTTTTATTTTGCATAGAAGAAGAAGAAGGGGTTTTGTGCAAAAATGCGTTCATGTGTCATTGACAGCAGGCCCATGCCATGCTGGCATCGACGGATACGCTCGCATACAGAGAGAGTGACTGTATTTGAACAGTCTCGCAAGTTTAGTGATCACAAACACGTATTTTGCAACTTTGTGCACCAAAATGACCTGCGTGCAAGTTCTAAGACCTCTAGTGTATTTACCTCAACAAAATAATTGACAGAAAGTGCTACCAGCACGGGGAAGAGTTCCATGCAAGCTAGGAGAAAAATCACCTGCAGAGAACACGGGAGGAAGCTCAAATGGGAAAACGAGCCCGGAAGAGTAGCTGCCTTTCTTCTGCGACTTGGCCGGGTCCAAGGGCTCGCACTCCACGACCTCCCTCGCGCGCATGTCGACGCCGAAGAGGCACTGTTCCAGGAAGAAGTATACCACGTCTGGATTGTTGGGGTGGACGAGAGCGAGTACGGGGGCCTTCTTCGGCAGCCCCGCCGCCTTGTACGAGTCAGCGGCCCAGATCTCAGAAAAGCTCGCCTCGTACTCAAACGTCCACTCTGCGGTGCTCGGATCAGCCAGCGTGCGCATGGAAACCTTGGGAGCGCCGTGGCTTGCACAGCTCATCTGGACGCAGCGGAAGACGCCGTCGCTGAGCTGCACGACGCGGCGGGAGCCGAGCTCTCTCTCGGCGCAGTAGCCGCAACCATGGCCGTGCTGAACGTCCCCAGCCGGGAGCTGGACATACTCCACGGCCGGCTCATCGGCGAAGGGATCGCACGCGAGAAGGCCCGCCACGCAATCCACCCACCAGAGCTTGCCGCCGTGGGAGACGATGTCGGAGAAGGTCCACATCCAACGCGGCAGGGGGTTGGCGACCTTCTTCCTGGCCCACTTGCCGCTGTCGGAGGAGAAGCAGAGGAGGGTGGCTTCGCGGCCGCCGACGATGGTCTGGAACTCGACCACCATGAAGCGGCCGCCGCCTCCTGGCGCGGCGATGACGCCGAGGTCGTTGTTGAAGATGAGATCGTGGGGGTCGGGGACGGGCGAGGCGGTGGCGGTGGCGGAGGACAGGTCGCAGACGACGTAGCGCGGCCTGGGGACACGGCCGATGCGGATGGTGCGCTCGACGCCTCTGGCGTCACGGCTGGTGCGCAGCTCCCCGTCGTCCCGCTCGGAGAGGGGCGGCGGGGTGAGGATGAGGAGGAGGCCGGAGGGGTCGGCGGCGAGGACGCCGGGGGACTTGTGCCTGCAGGCGGGGTCCGGGTCGACGGGGCAGGCGGTCGGGCGCAGCTTGACGGTGGTGACCCGCGGCGGCGCGGCGAGCGCGAGGGAGAGCGCGGCGCCCTGCGGGAGGCCGTCGTCGCCGGCGGCGGGCGCGGTCGCCTTCCGGCTCAGGATGACCCACGACGGAGACGCCATCGGGTCGGAGGGGGAGCGGAGGAACTTGGTTGGGTGGGAATGGGGACCGAGGGCTACGGTTTAGGGGTTTGGTTGTTGAAGTACTAGTACGAGTTTGAACTTTGAACTCTGTCGGGTTGCAGAGACCGCGGGGTGGCGAGTTGGGAGGGAGGAAGAGAGCGAAGCAGGCGAGGAGGAGTCGTACCGGGCGTCGCTTGAGGTGTACGCGCGCTGGCTATCTTTTGCGTGCGGAATCTTTTGGCAGTTGGGGTTGCAGAGCTACGGCGGAGGTGCAGGGCGGTGACAGGCAGGCAGCCTTTGAACGGCCCGGGCATACCGCCGTGCTGGGCTGCTCTACTGGCCAGGGCAGACAGCACGGAGATCGATCGGCGAGCGAATGTTTGTAACGTGCGCACGTTTGTACGTACTGTATTGTGCTGGTCATTTCTTGATAGCAACATTGTGCGCTTCATCAAAGCTCAAAAGCCTAAGAAATGCTACTCCGACGACGGACGAACAAGCGTGCAGACGATGGGAAGAAATCACCCACCAAATCCAGTCAAGGGCAATATGCAATGGGCAGTGACATTTCACTGGACTATTACCAAAAACAAGACTCGGCCACCTCATCTTTTTTGCAGGAAAAAAAAAGTCAGATAACTCAACAAAGGATGTAGCACGATCTCACATGCGTCCAGTTGGGTAATCGGTGGAACGGCCGGATAGGCAAAGTTAACACGACAGAAACAGATCAAGAGTTTAATGCCTTACTTCCGGACCCAATAACCCATAGGCACACTGCCTGATTTACTTCTGAACCAACAGGGCACATCAAGCATATATAGCGCTAAACTGAACTGACCAATACTACGAATTCATGTCTGAACTGAAATAGTGGTAAGACAAACAAGCAAGAGCAAAAAGTTTCATCCATTTTGTCCGATGAGTGTTGCCCAAGACGACGCCAATTGCCAACTGCTGGTCACTCAGCTTCAACCTGCATCCAAGGAGAAGGAAATTCCTCCAAAAGAAGGAATTAAAAGGCATAATCACATCTGGATTTGATCATCTAATTCAGCTATTGGTTGGTGAAAATAGCAGTATAATGTAGCACCTTAATCTCTTTCCAAAATAAACATGTAGCCCTTTAATCCAACAGTTGATTATTTTCGAAAAACAGTTGATTCATTGTGCTTATTGATGACTATGTGAAAACGTTTCACACCATGCAAGCTGGAAAATAACACTTCTGTCAATATTTACACAGTAGGACACACTTCAACTACTTCATTTCAGATGAATAACACAGGGAGCTGGCAAAACCATTTGTAATTGTTGGGAAAAGGCATCCAAATACGTAGTACATCCAGTACTCATTCTAGAAAAGGGATCTAGTAATGCTAGATTTAACAAGATGAACTTTCAGTCATAGATTCTCAGTAACAAATTTCATTTAGAAGCACATGAACTTACTACACAGAAATTCAAGTAGAAATTTGCAAAATTTGTAACATATTAACATGAAATTCACAAGAGGGGTCATGGTTATTCATTTAAATATGCTTGCTTTATGTAGTGCTTATGTGACTAATGCAGATTCACTATGCATATTGATGATTATGTATCTTTCCACTTTCCAGGGACATTGCATATTGAAAACAAAAGGTACCACAGGATCATCCTAATACCAAGCTAGTACGAGGAGAAAAGAGAAACATGAGTATGTTTCAAAAGCCAATCACATATTCATGGATTAGTGGAGACAATTTGTCAGTTTCTATCATAAACGTGCATGTATAGTGAAGTGCAAGAGATATCATCTCTTGAAACATATAGAAGTGCACCTTCGAGCAATTTACTTACATTCCATCTGTAAGCTTGTGTAGTGCTTTCCCAACAAAATGTTGGCAAAGTTTACACAATTTTTTAAAAGTTTACATAATTCAACACATGTGTCCTTAAATTATAACTAACATGCAGCTTCCAACTCCTCCAACAACAAGCGTATTAATTTAGCACAAACAAACATGTAATTCTAATTGCAATTATAAAAGCGAAGTTATATGCCTCACTGAAATGACAAAATCATTGACAACACTTGAGCAATAAGGAGCCATAATATTTAACTTTTCAAATGTCCGTTTCATGCTTAAACTTTAAGTGGGCTACATGTCTAAATACATTGACTTGTTTGTTCTTTAAAGGAAATGCGTGAACATCAATTAACCGTCTCCTTTAAAGAACATGAATTTACAGTGGATGGAAGATGGAATTACCTGTGAAATAAATCGTGGGAAGCGTTAAACCCTTTTCTCGGGCCGCACTTATATTTATATGGATGTTGTCGTGGCTTACAAGATGATCGATCAAGAGTTTGATCGAGAGATACAGAGAAGGTCGGTAGAGGAGGAGTTAGACAGAAGAAAGGATAGGAAAGGTTTACAATTCAAACACTAGTCCTATCCCTATACAACTCTATTTCAACACTCCCCCTCAATCTGAACCTAAGAAACTCCAAGGTTGAGATTGTACTTGAACTCATCGAGCCTTCTCATAGTAAGTGGTTTTGTAAAACCATCAGCTAGTTGATCACCAGTAGGAATGAATCTTATGTCAAGCAACTTGCGAGCAACTCTTTCTCTAACAAAGTGAAAATCAACCTCAATGTGTTTTGTGCGTGCATGAAAAACAGGATTGGCTGAAAGATAGGTAGCACCAATGTTATCACACCATAATCTAGCAGCTTGTGGAGCGTTAATTCCAAGCTCATAAAGTAGAGTCTGAATCCACATGATTTCAGCTGTAGAATTTGCTAAAGGTTTGTACTCAGCCTCAGTACTTGACCTTGAGACTGTAGCCTGTTTTCTTGCACTCCATGATATAAGATTTGTACCCAAGAACACAGCAAAACCACCTGTGGACCTTTTATCATCAGCACACCCTACCCAATCTGCATCAGAGTAGGCAGACACAAGCATGGAAGGAGACTTGACAATTTTTAGTCCAAGCCCTCTTGAAAATTTGAGATACCTCACAATTCTTTTAACTGCAGTCCAATGAACAGTAGTTGGTGCATGTAGATACTGGCATACTTTGTTCACAGAATAAGAAATATCAGGACGTGTAAGAGTTAAATATTGTAATGCACCTACAACACTCATGTAGTTTGTTGCATCGTCAGGTCCAAGTGCCTCTCCAATGTCAATTGTGAGTTTTTCTGAAGTTGAGATTGGTGTATTTACAGGCTTGCAATTTTCCAATCCCACTCTCCTGAGAATGTCATTGGCATATTTTTCTTGTGACAAAAGTATACCATCTTTCAACTGCTTAACCTCTATGCCAAGGAAGTAATGAAGATCCCCCAAGTCCTTAAGAGCAAACTCCATCTTTAAATCCTTAAGCAAGCAGGTAGTGGCATCTGGACTTGAACTAGCAACAATTATATCATCAACATATACCAAAACAAATATAGTAACATTGCCTTTACTATAGAAGAATAGTGAGGTATCAGCTTTCGATGGTGTAAACTCAAGTTGTTGTAACTTTGTGCTCAGCCTTGAGTACCAGGCTCTTGGGGCCTGTTTCAAACCATACAAAGCTTTATCTAACTTGCAGACATAATGAGTGTTGGAAATATGCCCTAGAGGCAATAATAAAATAGTTATTATTATATTTCTTTGTTCATGATAATTGTCTATTGTTCATGCTATAATTGTGTTATCCGGAAATCATAATACATGTGTGAATACATAGACCACAACACGTCCCTAGTGAGCCTCTAGTTGACTAGCTCGTTGATCAAAAGATGGTCATGGTTTCCTAACTATGGACATTGGATGTCATTGATAACGAGATCACATCATTAGGAGAATGATGTGATGGACAAGACCCAATCCTAAGCATAGCTCAAAGATAATGTAGTTCGTTTGATGTAGCTTTTCCGAATATCAAGTATCATTTCCTTAGACCATGAGATTGTGCAACTCCCGGATACCGTAGGAGTGCTTTGGGTGTGCCAAATGTCACAACGTAACTGGGTGACTATAAAGGTACACTACAGGTTTCTCCGAAAGTGTCTGTTGGGTTGGCACGAATCGAGACTGGGATTTGTCACTCCGTATGACGGAGAGGTATCTCTGGGCCCACTCGGTAATGCATCATCATAATGAGCTCAATGTGACCAAGTGGTTGATCATGGGATCATGCATTACGGCACGAGTAAAGTGACTTGCCGGTAACGAGACTGAACGAGGTATTGGGATACCAACGATCGAGTCTTGGGCAAGTAACGTACCGATTGACAAAGGGAATTGTATACGGATTGATTGAATCCTCGACATCGTGGTTCATCCGATGAGATCATCGTGGAGCATGTGGGAGCCAACATGGGTATCCAGATCCCGATGTTGGTTATTGACCGGAGAGGCATCTTGGTCATGTCTGCATGTCTCCCGAACCCGTAGGGTCTACACACTTAAGGTTCGGTGACGCTAGGGTTGTAGACATATTAGTATGCAGTAACCCGAAAATTGTTCGGAGTCCCGGATGAGATCCTGGACGTCACGAGGAGTTCCGGAATGGTCCGGAGGTAAAGATTTATATATAGGAAGTCCAGTTTCGGCCATCGGGAAGGTTTCGGGGGTCGCCGGTATTGTACCGGGACCACCGGAAGGGTCCCGGTGGTCCACCGGGTGGGGCCACCCATCCCGGAGGGCCCCATGGGCTGAATTGGGAGGGAACCAGCCCCTAGTGGGCTGGTGCGCCTCCCTTGGGCCTCCCCTACGCCTAGGGTTGAGAAACCCTAGGGTTGGGGGCGCCCCCTACTTGGCTTGGGGGGGGGAAGCCACCCCTTGGCCGCCGCCCCCTTGGAGATACATCTCCTTGGGCCGGCGCCCCCCAAGGCCCCTATATAAAGAGGGGGGAGGGAGGGCAGCCGGACCCCTTGCTCTTGGCGCCTCCCTTTCCCTCCGTAACACCTCTCCTCCCCGCTTGCGCTTGGCGAAGCCCTGCCGGGATCCTGC